TGTAGCCGTCAGCGAGTCCTCCCGCCCACCCTGCTGACTTCTAACCCCGAGCAGCAGCACGCGCAAGGGAGGGTTGTGGCGCTGAATTAATGTTTGCAGGATGCTTCGATCTCTCGGGTGTCAGCCCTCAAAGGGACCTTGGGCTGAGAAGGGGTTGTGGATTTTTTTACAGACGCTTTCCCGCAGCACCGATGCCAGGTGTCTGCCGGGCTGCAGCGCTGAGCCACGCCGGGCTCTGTTCAGCATGTGCTGGCAGGCAGATGTGCTGCCTGCTGAGGAGAATAAGCTCGGTTATTTAATGAATAAAACTCATTTGAGGCCGATCGCTGATGCAAACACCGAATGTGCTGTAGAACTGGCTCTAACCTCCGGCTGTTTAATGTTATCAGTGGTGCAGCCCCACTTCGAGGCCTATCGGCGGATAGTGCATTACTTTGGCAGCGAGATCCTCTTGGAAAACGGCGAAATAAATCGTGAGGCGCTAGGAAACATTATCTTCTCCCACCCGGAGAAACGGCAGCTGCTGAACTCCATCACCCACCCGGAGATCCAGAAGGAGATGCTGAAGCAGATCTTGAAGTACTTTGTGCTAGGTAAGAGGCCGTGGCCCGGCACACCGGGACTCGTGCTCGGGCAGGAGCTGTCCCTGCTTGCTCTGCCTTTGGTTTTAAAGCGGGGAGAGGGACGAAGGAGAAAGGGAACCGACGTTGAGTGACGGCCTTTGTGCTCTGCCACCGGTGGCCTTTTGCGTTGGTGTTTGGAGGATTCATTCCTGCCTTTCACTGCTGCCCTTCACCACCACCTTCTTCTATGGTTTAAAGTACTTCTGTAGGGGCTGAGAAAAGCATTGTGAGGCCTCTTCTGAGATTACTTGCTGGATAATGTCATACCTTCCGAAACGGCCAAATATTCTTCCCTGCCCCCAGCCTCAATGAAAGCTGCGGAGCCCTTTTAGTCTCGATAAGGTGAGAAATGGGCTGACAGCTGTGGTTTCCAAAGTCCCACTTTTTCCCCTGATAAATATAACAAATACAGCTGTCAAACTCGGTCTAATCAAATGCCAGATAAGATCACCAGCTGTTTTGGAGGTCTCCGTGTAGACAGAAGGATGTCTTAATAGAGTCAGTCTGGTTTTGCGGAGCTTATCAAAGCTGAGCCCTGTGACAGCTGAACAGGCCTGTGCCAGGATGCCGCAAGGGCCGTGCTCTGCTGCGGGGCGAGGAGGAGGAGGAGGAAGCACAAAGGAAGCAACAGGCAGGAAAGCCGGGAGCTAGAGATGGAGTCTTGAACCCGGGGCTGCGGGCTGGGGAGGCGGATGCTGTCCCGCCCCTCGGCGAGAGCACTGTGTGTCTTCAGCAGGCTGCTTTGTCCTCATTAGTCAGGTTTTAATGATTTGAGATAGCTGGATGTTGTCTCTAAGGATCGCTGTGTAAGGAAAGCTCTTATCGATCAAACTGTAGGGCAGTGAGAAGTCTCTCTGGGCGGAGATGCTGGTAAAATGGTGGCTCGTTGGATGATGATGTCTTTGTCAAGGTTTTTATTGCTGTGGCCAGGTCAGTTAGGGGGGCTTGGTTATAAAGAGGGGACACCAGTAAAACTGGAGATGTCCCCGTGGCTGGGACACATGCAGGGGAGTGAGGTCCCGACATGCAGCTTTCCCCTACCCTCGCCCGCTCCCACCAGGCTCAGCAGGGCTCACCCCCGTCCCCAAACGCTGCCGTCTGCCGGGGGAGTTGGCGTTTGCGAAGGGCAGAGGCACGTGGACGGCCTGGGGTGGGCTGCAGGGTCCGGGAGGACGGCGACTGGCTGTTACGAGCTCTCCTCTGCTGGCTGCTCCGCGTGGTGATGGCAGTTTTAAACCAAACTTGGCCGGTTTTGGTGAGGTCTCAGGCCCTGGGGCTGCCCCTGGAGGCACCCCCACATTTCAGTGTCACAGCTGTGAGAGGTCTGCAAGGATTTCCTTGCTCCCCTTGGAAAAATGGAACTGTTTAGCCAAAGCTTTCCAAAAAGGGAAGAAAACTGAGCTGGGAAACATCGGCTGAAATGACTGCAGCCTGGTGAAGCCTTGGACATGTGAAAGAGAGAAGAGCAAATTCTGCTGTGGGCACTGCTCCCCTGGAGAGGCCAGCAACAACGGCGTGACTGCCGCTTTTGCCAGCCAGGCACAGGCGCTTTCATTTGAGCTTCTCATTTCAGCTCCTCATTATATTTCTCCAGCTTCACCTTTGGTCTGAGATCATCCAGGTTAGGGTTTGTTTTTTGGGTTTTTTTTTTTTATTATTTTGTTGGGGTTTTTTCCTTTGGAAACTCGGAACGAAACCGTTTCTTCCCTCCAAGAGGGAGGAGGGCAAGCAGGCTCTGCTCTTGGCTGTAATTGTGGAGCTGTAGAGCTCTCCCGCTTGTTTTGCTGGAGCAGCCATGGCCGCAGTGCGCGTGCAGCACGAGGGATTTGGGAATCCAGGTAACGCTGTCCCTTTTTTTGAGGGGAGTGTTGTCATTTTTGCAGGCTACCGCTACGTGATCCTTGACATCCCTCTGCTCTTTGAGACCAACAGATTGACCAAGTTTATGAAATACACGGTCTTGGTTTATTGGTAAGTGCCACACGAACCACGAGGACCGGGACGCTGCTGCCTCTCTTAGAGCCTGGAGGGGGCTGTCACGTCCCTCCTGCTCCAGTGGGGATTTAGCTTCGGCCTTGGTGCGAAGCCTTTTGGTAATGCTGCCTCTTTTCTATAGGTGTGAGAAGCGATACCCTCCTTTATCCTAGTGTAGGAGGGGCTTTTTACTGGGGTTTTCCTGAAACCTGGCGCTATCCTAGAGGGGAAATCTCTGTCTTTGGGCCTTCCACAGCCTGTGTTCCCTGTGCTGGGGCAGGGTTTGGGGTGCTGCCCCGGTGTTACGGGCTGTGGGAAT